CCCTCGCCAACCCAACCTCACAAAGGCACACCCAGGCAGGGCCAGAGAAGGGCTGGGGGCTGGACTGTAACTGAACTGATCTTACTGCCTTCTCTAACCAGGAGGCCAGCCACTGCCAGGTGACATCTTTTGAAGGGCCAGGGCATTTCGGGACTTTTTCAACCAGCTCAGTTTTCAGACCCTTTCCCTGAGCCCTCAGGCAGAGCTTTTTTTTATTCATAGTCAGTACTTGGGCATTTCAAAAGCACCTGATAGTTGCATAATTCTGATGATAAAATATGGCTTTGGAGAGACAAGAGAGTTAAGAGTAGGATCCTGTACTTCAGTTTCCCATACAATGAAGATGTCCTGTGGTATGGAATAAGAATAGCTCCCTCATAGAGTTGTACCGAGGCTAAATGACTGAAAACACTTAATAGACTCCATCTGTGGGATAAATGGTTTTAATCTTTCTTTTTCTTTTAAGGTGGGGTTTCACCATCATGGCCAGGCTGGTCTTGAACTCCTGACCTCAGGTGATCCACCCACCTCAGCCTCCCAAAGTGCTAGGATTACAGGCGTGAGCCACCCTGCCCCACTGGTTTTAATCTCTCTAAAACCCAGTTTAGTTTCCGGAATGAGGATGGAATGATAAAGGAGCAGGAAATAAGCCACAGCCAATGAGCGTGGGGGCAGGGAGGGGCAGAAGAGGAGGGAGGAGCACGCCCTGACTCAGGTCCAGAGCCAGTCCAGCCCTCCCCACGTCCTGGGACCAGCTTCCCCTGCTTGGGTCGTTTCTTCATCCACAAACTAGATCACTGTACTAACCTCACAGGGCTGAGAGAGAATAAAAATGACATAGGGAAAAAAAAGGCCACTAATATGCCAGTAGGTACTCATCAATAGTGTCTTTTATGCTGTCCAGCTCACTTTATAGCAGGGTTCAAACAAAGCACACCCAGGATTAGAAGACAGGCATCTGGAAATGAAGAGCCCCCCACCCCTGCCGCAACAGAACACATCGGCACTGCACTGTGGCCTCTCTCTCCCCCAAAGCCTTCTGTGAAGAATGTCCCCTAACACTTAGGTAGACTGGAAAGAGCAGAATGAAAACACAACCTGGTTTAAGAGAAGGGCCACACTGAGATCTGTAGAAAGTCATCATGTGGGTGAAGGACCAAGTAACATTTGACATCTGACATTTGGAGACGAAGGACAAACCAGCAAGGACCTTTATGATGGTAAACAGGCTCTCAAACTAAAAGGGCTTAGCATCTGGCCCTCTGCTCCACATTCCTATCCCCCGGTCCTTTCTGAGGGTCCTCTCTCAGACTGATAACTAATCATCCACGCCCAACTGGCAGACTAGAACTCACTTGTAGTATGCCATGGAGACAACCAGTAGATGATTTGTCACCAAGCTGCTGGGTTTATGGACTCTGGAAGACTAAGCTCAAACATGTTATGCTTTAGAGGTTTACAAGTTGAGGCAATTAAGCTTTTACAGTTGGAGGAAAAAAAAAAACTTTCTAGGCCAGCACTGTCCAATCAAAACTTTCCTTGATTCTGGAAAATGTTCTTGACCTGCACTGACCAGGACGGCAGCCAGTAGCTACATGACGACACTGAGAACCTTAAAATGTGCTAATATCACTGAGAAACTTTTGTTTTGTTTTGTTTTTTTTAATGCTTTCAAAAGTTTAGTCACACAGCTAGTAGATAAGGCAGCTCTATAGACAAGGCAACTCTAAATTCCCCCTACCCAGGACAGATTTAGGCAAATAGAACTATCTTTAAAAATAGAAAATATTTAGAACAGTAGCACCTTAGCGCTAAGAACTTGAGATGAAGTGATTTTTCTTCAGTTACATGTACTACCACTGAGCTGTGCTTCCCAGTCCAAACACCTCACTCCAGTCGCCCAGGGCACGCAAGTTTGGTCCAACTCCAAGGCTCCCAGGACCATAATCTGAATACTGATAATTCCGACCAACCCTCTTTTAGCTACTGAATAAACCAAGACCTGGAAGGCCAACTGGCCTGCCTAGAATCACAGGCAGGCTTCAGCTCTGAGAGCTGCACCAAGTCCCAGGCTCTTGTCAGCTAAGCCCAGCAGTGAAAAGCCTCATCAGTCCTGAGTTATACATACTTTTACTTCCAGAACTCACCTTGGGGCCCTTCTTTGCTCCCAAGTGCAACTGGACCTTAGTGACACAGGGCTCAGTGAACACAGCCAGCCAGCATTACAGGAGAGTGAACAGAACGTTTACCACTGACTGCTGCAAACTATCAAACCAAGCTGAAAACAGCCAACCAGATGACGAAGACCCAGATAGAATGTGGACAGGGCTGCACCATTTAGTAAAAGAAAAAGTTAAGGCAAAGGACACCTTGAAAGCTATTTATTGCTGGAAAGCCAGTTCTCAGAATGCTGACTGATAACACACACAACGTTAACAATCTACTTAGAAAGCAGCAGAAAGATTAGGAGGAAAAGCCCATGGATTTAAAAATATTCCTTGGTTCTTCTCACAAAAGCCATCTAGAGGACCTAGTTTTAAGTCCACACCCATACTTCCTAGTTCCTTTGCCCCTCAATTTGAATTGTGTGACAGCCACTGAAACAATCTGGAATGGCCTCCAGCTTCACCCTCACTGCACTCAGAAGTGTGAAGATTAAAGGATTAAGGAAGCCTTTGCTCAGAACTCACCTAGCACCATTAACTATCGAGAAAGAGGCATCCTCCGGAGTTTAGTTCCACGCCCCCACTACCTGTTTCTCTAGCCAGACTCTGTCCTACTCCAAACACACTCATTGATCATGTTTTTCACAGCCCAAGCTTAGAATCAGGTACCAAGGCCAGCAGCTTCCTTCAGTGGGATGCTTCATAGAATCATTAATGTTAAATGATCATAAAACCAAAAACTCCTGAGGTATCACACCAGGAAGGAACATGGAAGAAGCAAGATTTAGGACTAAAATACACCCCTCACCATAAAGATGAGCAACTCTCAAACAGTATGAGATGATTTCAATGGGACATGATGCCCACAGCATCCACTACCACCCCATAGTGGAGGAAAACGCCTGAGAATGACAAGCTGAAGGTATTAACTCCTACTCGAAACAACTGACTTCCCCACAAAAGGAAAACAGACCAAGCTACAGAGAGGCCCAATCATTCTAGACTCACAGGTAAGATTAGGAAGGAGTGACCTAGGGGAACTCTAGGGCCAGCTCTCCAGGTACAGCTCTCCAGTACAAGCTGCCTACTCTTCAAAGCCCTGAAATGCACACACAATCAAGTCATGCTGCAGGCGAGGACCAGGGGGCTAGCCGGCAAAGCTTAGGAAAACCAATTTGTTTTTCCTCCCAAACAAGTTTCTGGGTCAGAGACGGGGAGAGGGGTGCTTTTAATAGAATTCAAGTCACTCAAGTAATTCAAGAAAAACAAAGTCAGGCTCAGGGCTTGTTTAGGAAGAAGAGGAGAAGAGCAATGCTTAAGCACCTATTGCAGTCCCCACTATCACAAATATGATCTCTATTTGTCTTTAGGACAGGAAAAGGGAACACTGTAGAGGCTAACACCAGCCTTCCCCGAAAATACGGCGGCCACCCAGCCTATGTCCAATGCCCAAGAATAATTTGGGTTACCAGGTAGCCAGATAAATTGTTTTTAAGTATTGATGTTCAGCAACTTTACACTGGAGACATTATCGACTTCAGCACCTGAGCAGTGACTTGATATTCATATGATTCCTCTATTACAACTGACACCTCCACTGTCACCCTGCAGTGGCCAAGTGAGAATGCATTTCCTAGAAACAGCTGGGAGATGGGAGAGATATTCCTACGAGGAATTCCACCTAGACGCAGATCCATTAGGCCTGTCTCACTTACTGGCTAGGATCTGTTACCTGCAATTTCTGGGCCAGCATCTAACAACAGGCATGAAGACAGAGCCTAGTAATCCAGTAATGGACTCAGGCTTTAGTGATTTGCATACCTATCGGATCCTCCTCTAACCTAGGGCCATATTTCAAAGAGAATACACCCAGGAATTCTGTAGAACCTACAAAATTAGTTAGGGGTTAAAGAGGAAAGGTTCAACACGTCAAAAGGCTCCCAAAACATAACTTCACGTGCTTCCAGTGCTTAGGGTCTTAAATAATCATCAGGTGAAGCACTTGAATGCCAAGAACAGAGGAATCATATAAACGATCAAGTCAGGCTGACCTCTTCATTTCAAAGATGTTCTGTACCTTTAAGAGCCAAGTGGATGGGTGGTGCTAAGAGTCTAAGCTTTGCTTTCTAAATAAAGAGTTAAAAAAAAAAAAAAGGTACTAATTTGGGAAGGACTTAGCAGTTACATGAGCATGTAAGGTTACTAGCTGCCAGAATTAATAGCTTTTTGTGAACGGTGTTCCTTGATCAGTAACTAACAGATACTGTTGCACCAGTTCCAGGAGCCTAGATTTCACTGGAGACAAATTTAAACATTAAGTAACCCGCACTACAGTAGGGGAAAGATACCAGTTTAACCTCACTAATTGCCCTGCGCATACACCCTACCCAGCTTGAGAGGACTCGACTTGCACCTGGAGCCAAGTCCACCGGGTTTGTGTTAACGGCAGGAAGGCGCAGCCACCCTGGACATCCTCCAGGAGAGGGAAGATCCAAAAACGCCCAGGGCTCTCATGCCGTTCCGAGTCGCCTCAGCACCGCCCACCACGATCAACACCTTCCGTCTTCTATCGCTCCCAGGAGGGAAACGGGAAGAACCTTCAGCAAGGGCACAAAAGAGTTGAACGCCAGAAATCCCGCGTTCGAGGCGTCCAGCCACTGACTCTGCCAGCCCACCGTAACCCTGAAACGAACAGGGTCCCTCCAGATCATGGATTGGGACACTGGGCCGCAGGCGGGGCCGAACACGTGACACTTGCCGGCCCCGGCGTGAGGTCGGTGGACACCCGGGGCTGGACGGTCTCCGCCCCTCCGGACATGCCTGTGGGGACTACGAATGCGAATTCCCCCGAGACACCCCTCAGCCTCCGACCTCCAGACCCCAACTCGGTTCGAATGGTCCCTTCGCCCGGAACACAGCTGGATCACAACTGGCGGTGTCCCGGCCCACAGTCCCGGTTCCGCTGGCTCCCCGCACGGAACTCTCAGGGACTGCGCCGCCGGCTCCGGTCGGCCTCTGTCGCCGGCCTCGGCGGGGCGCAGCCCGGGGCGACCCGAGGGTGAGAAGTTGGGTGAGGCTCCAGAAGTGAAGGGGCAGCTCCGGGCTCAGACTGTGTACACACGACCTTTGAAAAGTAAACGCCCGCGGGGCTGGGCGACCTTGGGTGGGACGCGCTCGGGTCCGCCTCGAAGGCGGGTGTGCGCGCTCTGGTAAAGTTGAGCCGCAGAAAGGAGCCCCGGGCGTCGCGCCCTCGCCCCCCGCCCCAGAGGGCAGTGACGCGCGTGGGGTGGACCGCGCGGCCGCAGAGCGCCGCCCAGAGCCGCGCACACGCGATCTGACAGTAGCCCGCGGGCAGACAAGCGGCGGGGGAGGGGGAGAGGGGACGCAGGCGAGGGAGGGAAAGACGGGCCTGCCTGACAGCGCGCGGCGGCCGGGAGCCCCCAGGACACCTTGGCGTCCGGAGCGTCTCGCCCCTGGGGTACCTACAGCGCGCGTCGCACCCTGCACCTGCACCCCAAGCTCCCCATCGCCCAGACCGCGCCGCCTTTGGGGCTCCGACAGGGGGTCCCCGGCGCAGCCGCCCCCGACCTACCAGCTCTCGGCGACTGTCGGGGTGCGGGGTCCGGAGTCCGCGCGCCGCCGCCGGCCCCCGGCTCTGCCCCGCGGCCCGGCCCACAGAGCCCGGCTTCCGCAGCTCCCCCACGTGCTTGCCCAGGCAGGTGGAACACAGAGACATTAAATACTGAGGACGCGCGGCGACGTGCCCGCGGCGCGACGCAGGCCCCGCCCCTCGCCCTCGTGCCCCCGCGCCCCCGCACCCCCGAGCCCTCCTCGCTCACCAGCGCGTGCGCGCCGCCGGCCTCTCCCGGCAGCGCCTCCGCCGCGCCTCTCCCAGCTGCGCCAAAGGGGCGCGGTCTAAAGTGCTCGGCGAACATCCCGCCGCCGCCCCGAGCGGGGTTCTGCTCGCGCTCTCGCGAGAGGAGCCATCATCTCCTTGATGCCCGGGAGAGGGGCCGGGCGGGAAGGTCCAGAACTCGGAGGACCCTCAGTATCCTGCATCGCAAGCCTAGCACTGGTTCTGCCGCCTTTGCTCTGGGCAGGCTCGAAGGGTCAGCCAGGTCATCTCCTGCCTCGACGGAGAGCGCCCTGGAAAAGACAGAGGGGCCGGTGAGAAGCAGAGCTTCCCTTGCTTCGGGGCTTTGAGCTTCCCTGTGACCGTCATTTCACTGTAACTTATAATTGGGTTGGCCATTCATAATTGCTCAATAACTGCATAATGGTGAAACCTGGTACCACTCAAATGCAGATTTCTTGCCCGTTTTCACAGCTTGATGTTATCGAAATGAAGCACTTTTCTCTGAATGGGTTGGGTTTTGGAGTGATTCTTGCAGAGATGGTCACTGTGAGTCACTATCTCTTCTAGGAATTTGGGAAAATAAATTCCCCCCAAATAAATGGACAGGGTGGGGTTTTGGCTGGCCAGCCAGAAAACAAAGTGACTTTAAATGAGCATTTGTTTAGCCAAAATATAGAAAAGAAATCAGGCTAAGAAAACTAACAATTACTTGGGAAAATGCTTAATCTTCACCAGTAACCAAATGCAAATTTAAATGACAGATACCATCTACTATACCTAATGAGATTTAAGTCTAATTCACGTATATATGAATCCCAGTTGCATGCCTGGCATCCTGGTAGATGCCAGGAAGGAAACAAATAGGAAACTGATATAGGAAAGAAAGAAAAAGAGCCCTGTTTCAGTTCCTGTGGTCAGAAAAGGCCTAAAGTGAAATTCAAACTGAAACTTACTGGATGAGAAGGAACCAGCCTTGCAAATTATATGCGGGCATAAGGATTGAAGGAGTATTCCTAGCTAATGCACAACACAAGAAAAAGGAAGAAACAACCCCTGGTAAACTGGAAGACCAGTGTGGAAGGAATGTAGTGAGGGAGGGAGTGACAGGAAAGAAGATTGGAGCTAAAGAGGATCGTTTCTTGTCTTTGTTTTTTGGAGGGAATAGGGGCCTGGGCTGCCCTTAGTAAATACTTAATATTTACCATAGTAAATAGTGAAGCTTGGATTTTATTCTACTCTGCTCAGTCCCAAAGCCAGCTGTGACTCTACCTCAGGGCCTCCTCCACATGGAATATTCTGCAAAACTCACTCTCTCACCTCTTTCAAGTCCTTTGCTCAAAGGTCACCTACTCAGACTCGGTTAAGTCTTCCCTGGACTTGCTATTTTATTTTTTATTTTTTGAGACAGAGTCTCACTCTGTCACCCATGCTGGAGTGCAGTGGTGCACTCTCAGCTCACTGCAACCTCTGCCTCCCGGGTTCAAGTGATTCTCCTCCTCAGCCACCTGAGTAGTCCCACTACAGGAACGTGCCAACATACCCAGGTAAATTTTTTTGTATTTTTAGTTGAGACGGAATTTCACCATGTTGGTCAGGCTGGTCTGACATCAGGTGATCCGGATCCGCCTGCCTCAGCCTCCTGAAGTGCTGGGATTACAGGTGTGAGCCACCACACCAGGCCTGCATGCTGTATTATAAACTGTAACCACATACACACACAAATTCCCCATTCCTCATCCCTTCTTTTTTTCATAACCCTTACCCCTATCCTTCATTTATTTCATGAGGGCAGGGATTTTGGGGGGTCTGGTACAGAGAGGGTGTGCAGTAAACATGTTTTGTGAATGAATAGGAAGCTATTAAAGAGAGTTAAGCAGAGAGTGACATAATGTAATTTCTGTTTTTAAAAGCAAGCTGTAGCTGCTGTGGGAAGAACAGATTAGAGGGAGACCAATGTCGAATCAGGGAGAGTAGTTAAGAGGATGCTGGATGTGGTTCAGGTGAGAAATGATGCTGGTCTGACCTAAGGATCAGGCTCTGGGGATGAAGGCACTGCTTTAGACTCAAGATATATTTTGGAAGTAGAGCAGCACGCTTACTCATGTTGTTGCTGGTAAAGAAAAAGGAACAATGCATGATGATTCCTCTGGCTTGAGTTACTATGTGAACTGGGGTGCAATTTTCTGAGAAGGAGAAAGCTGGGGGCAGAGAAGTGTTGGTTTTATTTTTGACCCATTGTTGTGACATCAAAGTGCAAATAGTAATTAGGTTGAATACACAACTGTGGAGCTCAGAGGAGTGGTCTGAATGGAAAATACAAATATGGGCTGAAAATCATGTTTAAAAATATATTTTAAAGAAAGACAATGCTAGGTTGGGCATGGTGGCTCACATCTGTAATCCCAACACTTTGGAAGGCCAAGGCTGGTAGATCAGGTGATCAGGAGTTCAAGACTAGCCTAGCCAACATGGTGAAATCCTGTCCCTACTAAAAATACAAAAATTAGCCAGTGTGGTATGCACCTGTAATCCCAGCTACTTGGGAGGCTGAGGCAGGAGAATCACCTGAACCCCTGGGGGCAGAGGTTCCAGTGAGCTGAGATCGCACCACTGCACTCCAGCCTGGGCAACAGAGCAAGACTGTCTCAAAAATAAAAAAGAAAGACAATACTTAGCAGTAGTGGAGACAGGCATATAAAGAAGCTGAGAAAATGATGTTCATGGATTTAAGCTCTGGAAACATTGATAGGAAAGAAAAAGAGGGAGACAGAAGGAGTAAAAGAGGGAGATGGGGCTATGAATATGGCTATGAAAAGGAAGGACAAAGACCAGGGGTGAAAGCATATGTCAGTTCCACCCAATTCAAGGGGACATGGGCACAGCCTGCCAGAAAAAAGGAATGAGGGAAAAACAGAGGAGTGTGTTGATTGGAATACTAGAGAAAGTGCAAGATACAAGTCAAAGGGAAAAAGGTGAGAAAATAGGATTCACTGCAATCACCATTAGACCTCAACCCAGTACCTGTGGCTGAGGAAGTAACCACAAGGTCTGAGCAGTTCCAGTGTCACAGAGGTGGCCCTAATATAAGATCAGAAAGTGGAGGAATGAGAAGAGAAGTGAGGGTGGAAGGTGATCCTAAGAACTTGGCCATGAGGAAAATAAGATGATGTTGTTAGGCTTCAGCTTTCTCAGCTCAAAAATGCGCCAAGTCTGCTTAAGGCAGGAATTTTAACTGAGGATGCATAGGAATTTAACCTGGGACATCAAGGATGTCCACAATCCCCTGAAATCATTCGCATGTTTTTTTGTTTTGAGACAGAGTTTCGCTCTTGTCGCCCAGGCTAGAGAGCAATGGCCGCATCTTGGCTCACTGCGACCTCCACCTTCCAGAATCAAGCTATTCTCCTGCCTCAGCCTCCCCTAGCTGGGATTACAGGTGGGCACTACCATGCCTGGCTAATTTTGTATTTTTAGTAGAGATGAGATTTCCCCATGTTGGTCAGGCTGGTCTCAAACTCCTGACCTCAGATAATCTGCCCGCCTCAGCCTCCCAAAGTTCTGGGATTACAGGCGTGAGCCACCACACCTCCTACATGGTCTTATAAATATGACGTCTTTCTGCACAGATTAGTCATGGATCATTTCTATCAGACTCTAATCCTAACCTTAACAACAACAAAAAATTAGAATCTGGTGAATAGAGCAAAACACTTAATCCAAAAAGAAATATGTCAGAATAAGAAGGTAAAAAATAAAATTATTCAAAGGAGACCAAAGAAAAAAAAATAGAAGAAATAGTAAGTGTCCATGAAAGGAAGAAGGTATCCAATGCCATTTCATCAGGAAGCCTGGCTGTCTGAGAAGTCAAACCGGTCAGAGCTGAACCCAGTGCTTTTTTATTCATTTAAATTCTATGACCCAAGCCCCTCACTCTGACTCTGTATCCACCCAGCAGCCTTCTGATCATTCTCACTAAGGAGAGAAGCTATGATGGGACCTATGAAAGGCAGTGGTTCCCCAATGACATTTTTATCATTGTAAATTACATAACCTGCCCTCTCGTTTTCTGTATCTTGTACATTATGTGAATATTTTTAGTATGAGTCAGCTTTCAGTTCTGGGACTTGAGCATGGTGAAGTTTCTGAACCTGTTTTAAAGCTTAGTGAGGGCTTGACACAGGACCATGGAGAAAATGCATCGAGGTAAATGTCACCTTGTGAGGCATTTTTAAAAAGTTAGCTAATTCTGGGGGAGGGGGCAGAAAAATAAAAATAAGTTAGCTAATTCTTATGCATGTAATCCCAGCACTTTCAGAGACCGAGGCAGGAGGATTGCTTGAGCCCAGGAGTTCAATACCAGCTTAGGCAACATAGTAAAACCTGTTAGCCGGGCATGGTGGCACTCGCCTGTAGTCCCAGCTCCTCAGGAGTCTGAGGCAGGAGGATCTGCTTGAGTCCAGGAGATTGAGGCTATAGTGAACTATGATTGTGTCTGCATAGCAGCCTGGGCAACAGAGTGAGACCCTGTCTCAAAAAAAAAAAAAAAATTAGCTGGATGTGGTAGCACACTCCTGTAGTCCTAGCTGCTCAGGAGACTGAGGTGAAGGATGGCTTGAGCCCAGGATTTCAAGGTTGCAGTGAGCTATGATCACACCACTGCGCTCCAGCCTGGGAAACATAGCAAGACTCAAAAAAAAAAAAAAAAAAAAAATCAGTTGGTTTTATTCTCTTGGCAGTCCCTCCGACTTCAGGGGCACATGTTTGAGAAATGCCCTACTTTTCTATTGGAAGCATCTACAGAAAGAACTTTTTTAGTGCTAATAAATATGAACTGCCTCCTTTATAGGTATACACTGAAGATGCCCTCCCACACTCCACCCCACTTCCAGTTCTCTTAAAATGGAGATGCATTTGTTATGCCCCAGGACCATGTGTGTCTGCCGGGAAGAATAAATAACCCACTCCTAGAAAAGTCAACGGAAAGAGTTGGGGAATAACAATACTAATGGCACTGAAGTAACTAACACTTAATGAGCACTTAGTGCCCAGCACCATGCAAAGTACTTTATCCTAATCTTCCACCAACCTTAAATACTAGATATTCTTGTAATCTGTATTTATTTCTGCATCACAGCAATCTGTATCATTGTATTTCTGTTTCACAGACTTTAGTCACACAGCAGCAATGGGAAGATTTTCGCTCAAGCAATCTGACTTGGAGCCCATGGATTAACCAACTCACTATACTGCCACTAGAGGCAAGTCCAGAGACCTTGGGAGCAGTTTATACAGAAACAGATCTGTTATGGGTAGAATCGTGTCTCTTCAGAAAGAATGTTGAGGGCCAGGCGCCGTGGCTCACACCTGTAATCCCAGCACTTTGGGAGGCCAAGGTAGGCAGATCACCTGAGTTCGGGAGTTCGAGATCAGCCTGACCAACATGGAAACCCTGTCTTTACTAAAAATATAAAACTTAGCTGGGCATGGTGGCACATGCCTGTAATCCCAGCTACTCAGAAGCCTAAGGCAGGGGAATCACTTGAACCCGGGAGGTAGAGGTTGCAGTGAGCCGAGATCATGCCATTGCACTCCAGCCTGGGCAACAAGAGCAAAACTCTATCTCAAAAAAAAAAAAAAAAAAGGTAAAACCCTAACCTTCTGCCCCCAGTACCTCAGAATGTGACCTTATGTGGGAACAGAGCTATTGAAGATGTAACTAGTTAAGCTGAGGTCATCCTGGAATAGATTAGACCACTACTCCAATGTGACTGGCATCCTTATAAGAAGACAACCATGTGAAGGCAGGGAGACACAGAGATAGCACCATGTGAAGACAGAGAATTGGGTTAATGTATTATAAGTCAAAGACTGCCAAATCACCAGCAAACCACCAGAAGCAGGAAAAAGGCAAGGAACCCCTACGGTTTCAGAGCGGGAGCATGGCCCCACTGCCACCTTGATTTGGACTTCTTCCCACTAGAACTGTGATACAGTAAATTTCTCCTTTCCTTTCTTTGGTGTCCTTATATTTTGTGAAAAGAAGAAAAAATAAAAAAGTAAAAAAAGTAAATTTCTCCTGTCTTAAGCCACTCAGTTTGCAGTATTTTGTTAGAGGCCCTAGGAAATTAACACAGTGCATTTCTTTCTTGAACCATGGACAGCATTGGTAAAAAGGAATGTGATATCATTCAAAACGTGATAAAAGAGGACTGTTTCCTGCCTCCCTGCTGAACCTCAGGTGCCCTGGCTTACCAGGGCAGGAGCCCCATCCAAGGGGTTGTGATGAAGGGGCCTGCTACCCAGGCACCATCACCCCCACATATTACTTGGGAGTTTTTTAGCTAGTTATTTAAGATTGTGATTCTGGTCCTGTTTAATGCGTGGCTGTCAGGAATATGGTTGGCCATATTTCTCAGCTTCCCGGAGCCCCCTCCACTCTTCCCAGCTTCTTCCAATTGCAGTTTACTTTAGAAATGGAGCCTAAGAAACTCTGCAGACTCCTTCAGGTAGGGTGAAGTTCTACCTAAACAGCCAGTTTAGGTCCTTTAATTACAGCAAGGTCCATGCATGTAATTAAATTACCAGAAGCAATTAAATCACCAAAAACTGTTACTTAACCTCATTTGATTCCATGGGAGATACCTTCTGGTCCAACTATTGAGATTCTCCAGGAGGCCACCCTACCATGCTGGACGCCTGTGTATGGGCGTTTGAATTGCTTGAATCTGTAGGGAAACTGCAGTGGACCCTCTCTGGGTGAGGTTTGTAATCTCATCTACCATGTTTATTTTGTTAGTTTTCATACCCTTAGGCACACAGTTAAAGCTGAGATGGTCTGAAACAGCAAGACCCAGAAGTCTGACAGAATTGCAGGGAGACAGTTGCCTGGGATGAGACATTTGGCCAAGGTGACCCACTCCCAGGAGTGATGGGCAGAGTACATAGCAGTATGGGAGCTTGGACACCACCCAAATTTTCCATTGCTGCTAACCTCCACACACGCCCTGCTATTTCTCTGGGACCATATTCTGGCTCTGCCTATTCTAAAACCTAGTAAATTTCTTAATAACACCTGTCTCCCATTTGATCAGGCACACCAATTTGCCAAAGATGAATGCATTCTACCCAGGACTGCCACGAGCCTATTTAGTGGCATTATGCAAATTAGGCAACAGGTGTTCCATTCCCTAGACAGGCACAGCCCTGTGCCAGTCTCCATGGTGAGTAAAGTACAGAGGCCCAGCCTAGATTTCAGCCCCTACTTACCCTTGGGTTGGATGCCCATACGCAGCGTTTGACCTGCATGATTCTGAGACATTTTTGTAGTTGAGGTGAGTCCTAACAGAGCTAGTGCTATCTACCATCACACATCCAGCCAACCAACCAACCAGACCTCTTAGGGTTTTGTGCACACACTGCAATGGCTTCATTCGTTTAATTGCTGCAAAAGCCTAAAGTATTATCTTGCCCAGCACAGACACTAAAAACACTTGTATGACGATAACCCTAGAACTAGTATCAAGATTATGGCCTATGGTTGGGTGCAGTGTCTCATGCCTATATTCTTTGGGAACACTTTGGGAGGCTGAGGTGGGAAGATTACTTGAACTCAGGAGTTCGAGACCAGCCTGGACAACATAGCAAAACCTCATCTCTACTAAAAATAAAAATAAAACAAATTAGTCGGAAATGATGGCATGCGCCTGTAGTCCCAGCTACTTGGGAGGCTGAAGTGAGAGGATCACTTCAGGCTGGGAGAACAAAGCTGCGGTGAGCTATGATTGCACCGCTGTACTCTAGCCAGGACAACAGAGTGAGACCCTGTCTCAAAAAAAAAAAAAAAAAAAGCATAATGTTTAAGAGACTGGGCTCTGGGAATATTAGTACAACCACTTCGCACAATTTGGAAAAAATCTAGTAGAGCCAAAGATGTATGTAAACTGTAATCCAGCAACTACACTCCTAGGTGGAAACTGTTACTGATCTGTTTAGGGAGACGTGTCTACAAATGTCCATTGAAACATTGTAACAGCAACAAAAACATTCTTTTTGGAAACAATGTCCATCAACAGGTGAATGACTAATAAATTATGGTGTAGTTCTACAGTGAAATATATAGTACCCAAAGGTTACATATATTAACATGGATAAATCTAAACAATGTATTTATTGACTGAGAAAAAGCCATTTCTGGCACAGAGGAATGAAACAGTATGATTCCTTCTTTTTTTTTTTTTTTTTTTTTTTTTTTTTTGAGACTGAGTTTTGCTCTTGTTGCCCAGGCTGGAGTGCAGTGGTGCAATCTCGGCTCACTGCAACCTCTGCCTCCTGGGCTCAAGGGATTCTCCTGCCTCAGCCTCCCAAGTAGCTGGGATTATAGGCATGCGCCACTACACCCAGCTAATTTTGTATTTTTAGTAGAGATGGGGGTTTTTCATGTTGGTCAGGCTGGTCTCGAACTCCCAACCTCAGGTGATCTGCCCGCCTTGGCCTCCCAAAGTGCTGGGATTACAGGCGTGAGCCACTGTGCCCAGCCTACAATATGATTCCTTTTATGTAGTTTTTTAAAAACCCACAAAACATTGCCTATGACTCCATGCATATGTTGAAAAAACAAAAACAGGCATGAGTTAAAAACACCAGATTCATGTTGGTGGTTATCTTGGGATCAAGGATGAAGGAGGAAGAGAAGGATACAGATCAGTTGAAGTTCACTGTGTACCCTCCCAATGACAAGGAACTTAAGCCGAATCTGCAGCATTTTATTGTTAAAAGCAGTGACTTTGGGGAAGCAGAAGTAAAATGGTGTGTGTTATATTCATCTCTATAGTTATTTGTGTGATTGAAATGTTTCATAATAAAAGTTTTCCTTTTTGCAAAGTGGGGTTTGAATCTGTGCAGGCTCCTAGCAGCGTGACTTCAAGCAAGTTACTTAGCCTCTTAGTTTCCTCATCTGTAAAATGAAGATAATCATTGGGCCTATTTCATGGGATCGTTGTGAAGATTAAATGAAATAATCTAGATAAAATACTTTGCACAATGCTGAGCACAATAAATAAAAGCTGTTATTCCATTTCAAGTGCTTTCATCAATCAACCAAGAGCAAGTCAAAATTCATTCAACAAATATATATTCAGCTACTCTTTTGTGCCAGGCCTTGCAGAAAAGGCTGTGGTTACCAAGGTAATTTATACCTAATCTGGTAGGGAAGGCAGCCATGTACATAAGTTAAGGCTGTGTGCAGCAGAGTCAGTGTCATGAGAGAGGTTAAGTGCTAGGTGGCATGAGAGGTCATAAATGTCAGTGAGCTTTATTCTGCTTGTGTGAGGGTTAGGGAAGACCGCACATACTGCTGGTACTCTTTCTGCACTTGGTTTTCACCAAAGTAAACCCTATTACTTCAGTTCTTTTTGTTGCATAACAGAGCACCTCAATATGTAACAGCATTTAAAACAACAGCTGATTCTTAGCTCATCGGGGATGGTTTGTTTCTGTTCCACATGTTGTGGAACAGCTGGGTGGTTTAAGTGAGGATAGAGGATCCAAGATGGTGACAATCATATCTAGAGCCTCAGCTGTGATGGCTGAAAAAGCTGGGCTGGCCACGCATTTATTTCTTCTGGTTGCTCTAGAAAGACTGGTCCTGTTTACATAGTGGCTTGGGGCTCCAGGAGAGCGTGAGCACTGAAGCTGTCAGATCTAAGTCTGGTGTGATGTGGTAATGCATTCTATTGGTCAAAAAAAGTCACAGGTCAGCCCGACTTGAGGGGGAGGGTCAATAGACCGCCTCTTGATGGGAACAGTAGCAGGATATTGTGGACATCTTGAACCCAATGCGTCTATTGTATCACACTCCATTTTACAGCCAATTTAGGAATTAAGAGGCACCTAGTTGGTGAGACTCTGGGACTGCTTTAGGAATCAATGGTGTGAAACTTATTAGGTTGGTGCAAAAGTAATTGCAGATTTTGCCATTGAAAGTAAACTGTAAGGCTTGAGCATGGTGCCTCATGCCTGTAATCCCAGCACTTTCAGAGGCTGAGGTGGGCAGATCACTTGAGGTCAGGAGTTCATACCAGCCTGGCCAACATGGACTCTTTAGAAACCCCATATCTGGCCGGGCATGGTGGCTCAAGCCTGTAATCCCAGCACTATGGGAGGCCGAGGCGGGTGAATCACGAGGTCAAGAGATTGAGACCATCCTGGTCAACAAGGTGAAACCCCATCTCTACTAAAAATACAAAAAATTAGCTGGGCATGGTGGCGCATGCCTGTAATCCCAGCTACATGGGAGGCTGAGGCAGGAGAATTGCCTGAACCCAGAAGGTGGAGGTTGTGGTGAGCTGAGATTGCGCCATTGCGCTTTAGCCTGGGTAACAAGAGCGAAACTCCATCTCAAAAAAAAAAAAGTAAACTGTAATGGCAAAACCCACAATTACTTTTGCACCAACCTAATAGCATAGCAGCAGTTGTAAAACACAGGGTTCATTCTGATTCAACCAGCTGGGTGTGGTGGCTCACACCTGTAATCCCAGCACTTTGGGAGGCCGAGGTGGGAGGATCATGAGGTCAGGAGTTTGAGACCAGCCTGGCCAGCATGGTGAAACCCCATCTCTACTAAAGAAACAAAAAATTAGGTGGGTGTGGTGTCACGTGCCTGTAATCCCAGGTACTCGGGAGGCTGAGGCAGGAGAATTGCTTGAGCCCAGGAGGTGGAGGTTGCAGTGAGCCAAGATCATGCCATTACACTATAGCCTGGGCAACAGGGCAAGACTCCATCTAAAAAAAAAAAAAAAAAAAAGATGAAATAATAAAATTTAAAGCCCAACCATAGAGGGTTCAAATCCACATTACAATACTAACTGTATAACCCTGGGGCAAGGGATTAAACCTCTCTTCCCACCCTTGCCTCATCTGTGAACTGAGAAGCAGTAAGATCTAACTTCCTAGGGTTGAGAATTATAGAATATGTATTAGAATTATACAATAGAAGGAATGCAAGGAAAGTGCTGGCCCATAGTGGGTGAGATGGTCGAGCAGTGCCATAATACTGTTATTATTAGGTCCCTTGCCTTTCTTCTTAGGTAAGGTAATACGACTTGTATATTTGTAGTCATTTCTTTATTTGTCATGGGAAAACCCAACAGACCTCTAGAATTGCCTGCCCCTCCCTGAAAACCTCAGCAATTGTGCATGGGGTTGGGACGTGCCTTTGTGAATTTGTTCAACCTTTTGGAAAGCAATTTAGTAATCATTAACAAAGGTCATTAAAAAAAAAGTTCATATCCTCTGACCCAATAACCAGACTTCCAGAAAATTATCCCAAGAGAATTGGTTCAAAACAAAAGCAAAATCCATACACATCAAGCTCCTTAGGGCAACTTAAAATAGAGAAATAGCTTAAATGTCTGATAATAGAGAAATGGTTAGCTAAGTTATGATACAAATAAAAACATGTTGGAATATCATGCAATTGCTAAAAATGACAGTCACTGTATGGTAGCATGGAAAATTTTTAAAATAAAATGCTAAGTGACAAATTCAGAATTCCAAAATTTCTCTGTATGAACACGGATCAGAGCCAGATGTGGAAAAAAACATTTGTTTGTGTTTGGAAGGTTGTTCTGTTCTGCTTTGTTCTGTTTTGTTTTGGGTTGGCTGAAGTGCAATGGTGCATTCATGGCTCACTGTAGCCTCAACCTCCTGGGCGCAAGTGATTCTTCAACCTCAGCCTCCTGAGTAGCTGTACAGGCATGAGCTATCACAGTAGGCTTTTTTTTTTTTTTTTTTTTTTGGTCGAGACATAGTCTCCCAATGTTGCCCAGGCAAGTCTTGAACTCCTGGGCTCAAGTTATCCTCATGCCTTGGCCTGGGATTACAGGCATGAGCTGTCACTTCTGGCCTGAATTGATTTTTTTTCTTTAAAAATATTCTTTATTGGCCAGGCACGGTGGCTCAAGCCTGTAATCCCAGCACTTTGGGAGGCCGAGGCGGGTGGATCTTGAGGTCAAGAGATTGAGATCATCCTGGTCAACATGGTGAAACCCCGTCTCTACTAAAAATACAAAAAATTAGCTGGGCTTGGTGGCGCATGCCTGTAATCCCAGCTACTCAGGAGGCTGAGGCAGGATAATTGCCTGAACCCAGGAGGCGGAGGTTGCAGTGAGCCGAGATTGCGCCATTGCACTCCAGCCTGGGTAACAAGAGCAAAACTCCATCTCAAAAAAAATAAAAATAAAAAATAAATATTCCTTATTGTGCTTTATTAGGCAAAGCAAAAGAAAAAAAGTAAAAAAGAAAATATTCTTTATTGTTATTTTAAATTGAAGTCAGGAAAAAAATGTAGGCAAGACCATATTGAAAGATGATTTACTTAAAAAGAAAGGCTACCTAATAAATGCCAGAGAACGAACTCCAGAGCATTTAAAAATACAAGTGTTTAAGCTTCTCACTAGAGATTCTAAAGCAGAGGGTCCCAGGTCGGGGAAAACCCTGTATTTTTTCTGAACTCCTCAAGTAAGTTCGATGCGGGACCCATTAAGGTAGACACTCATCATTATCCTTTCAGATAATGTAATAAGCATCCTGATCAGAAATAGCAATCCAAGGAATACTTACATAACCACAGCTTTTTTCTCCCCCAATAAAGTATGTCCCTACTATGGGGCTTTTACATTTCCATTTATTTAGTTGTACTCTGTCAAATTTTTAGCCTTTGTACATAATACAGAACAGGGAAAGGACAGCTTTTGATAAACACTTGTGATCCTGTATAATGTAGGGAAAAACACAGGGCATGAGAGCTGATGGCCTGGGGTTTAGCAGGAAGGGAAATAGAAACAGAAGAAATGTGATCTCAACATTGGTTAAAAGATATTGATAGGAACTGCAAGGACAATCTCCCACTGCGACCAGCTGTTACCCTTTCCTGAGGAACAGACATACTGAGTAGCCTCATGAGACCTAATGTGCATATTTTTCTTTCTTTTAGATGCCAACATTAACCCACAGGGAGTTATTGTTACAGACTGAAGAATAGAAAAAGAAAAAGCCAAATAGAGCCTTATTCCACCCAGCTTAGCTTCCACAGAACATTGTGAATGAGAGAGCAGACTCTTGAGAAAATCCTGGGGTTATCCAGTTTTCATGACTTCTTTCATTAGACCATCATTTACCAAAGTGTGTTCTTTATAAAAAGTAGTTCTTCAGGGAAGGGGAGGAGAGAAAAAATAATAATCATACTTTTTTAAAAAGTAGTTCTTCAGAAGGCTTAAAAGTATTATTTGGAAAGGGATTCCATGATGAAGTCAGTTTGGAATGCAGGGTTTACCCAATTTTGAGACGTTTCTTTGCAGGACTTCTCAGGACCTTTTTGAACCTTCAAGAAAAGAATATAGTGTGAAATATGAAAACTTTCTCCCAGCTGACGAAACACACTTTGCAAAGCACTCGCATAGACCAGTATGATTTTCAGTAAGAGCTAAATCAATTTTGTTAGTTGTTAAGGCATAAAACGCTAATACAGGATATTATAATCCTAGGCCTATATTATTTAATTTGGACTTTTCGCCTAAGAAAAATTAGCTTTAATGTGAAAAATTAGGAGACAATATAGAGAAAATTCAAGAGCTTCTCCAGATAAATTCTTAGAACTAATGATAAAGTTCACTAAAGTTTCTGGATATAAGATGTCTGGGGGTGGGGGAGGATACTTCCTTATATATTAATAGCAAACAATTAAAATATTTAATTTTTAAAATACCATTTGTAATAGTACCAAAATCTATAAAGTATCTGGGAATAAGTCTAATAAAATATGGCCAAATCATTCATGGAGATAACTTAGAACCTTTATTTAAAGACATAAAATAATTCTTAAACAAATGGAGACATTATTATATATCATGTTAATGGATAGAGAGACTCAATGTAGTAAAGAGGTAGTCTTCTCCATCTTTCACTTCCTTTGCTTCCTAATTAAGACTTATATTGCTCTTGGCTGGGCACAGTGGCTCACACCTGTAATCCCAGCACTTTGGGAGGCCAAGGCTAGCAGATGACATCAGGCCAGGAGTTCAAGACCAGCCTGGCCAATAAGGTGAACCCTCATCTCTACTAAAAAAAAAAAAAAAATACAAAAATTAGCTGGATGTGGTGGCACATGCCTGTTGTCCCAGCTATTTGGGAGGCTGAGGAAGGAGAATCACTTGAACCTGGGTGGTGGAGGCTGACATGAGCCGAGATTGTGCCTCCGCACTCCAGCCTGGGCAACAGACTAACACTCTGTCTTAAAAAAAAAAAAAAAAAAAAAAAAAAAAAGAAAGACTTTATATTGCTCTTCTTGCTCTTCTTTTACTGTCAAGAAAGTGTCTTCTACCCATCTTAGCAAGCCTCTAGTGAGACACATTTTGGAGCTCCATCTAAAGATCCTCAATAATAAACTGATGTTTGTAAGGTTTCCAGTAAAGTACAAAAAGCTCTCAAAGCATTTTAGTGTAATATCAGATTCTTTTTCTTTTTTCTTTTTTTGAAATACAGTTTTGCCCTTGTCAGCCAGATGAGTGCAATGGTGTGATCTCAGCTCACTGCAACCTCTGCCTCCCGGTTCAAGCAATGCTTCTGCCTCAGCCTCTCAAGTAGCTGCAATTATAGGCATGCATCACCACACCCAGCTAATTTTTGTATTATTAGTAAAGACAGGGCTTCACCATGTTGGCCAGGATGGTCTTGAACTCCTGACGTCAGATGATCCACCCACCTTGTCCTCCCAAAATGCCAGGATTACAGGTGTGAACCACTGCGCCTGGCCTGTAACATCAGATTCTGTAAAGGGCATGTGCAACTTATTTGTGTCCTCCAACTACTATGTCTTTAAATGCCTTAGCTAGAAATGGCGTTTGTTATGCTCAAAATTGCCCAGTTGAATTTTACTAAAAGTAGTGTAGTAGATGTAACTGGAGGTAGTTTCCTGGTTTACAATCCTCTGAACAGCCACATTTATGTTACCTTTTTTTCTAATAATAGGCTCAATCCCATATCATGGAGGTGGGCAAGTGAGCCAGGTGGATCCACTGTAATGCCTCATTCCTTTAGCCTGTGATCAGTCCACGTGGTAGACATATGACCCAAGCTAGGCTGGTTGGCCTTTCCCCATGTAGGGAAGAATAAAGCTAACAGGAAAAGAGCGGCAGAGATAAGAGACTGACAGTTTTTAAATTCCTGGCTCTAGTCACCCCAGCACTTCCATGGTTGGAGAACATCAGCCAATTAAAGAGCCCCTTTTTTGCTTAAATTAGTTCAGCGTGGCTTTCTGTTTCTTGGAACCAAATAATCCTTACAGTAAGTAAGCAGCTGCCTGGATTTTTATACTAGCCTGCCTAGTATAGAGTCAGAGGTTATTCAGGGAAGCAGAACTACTACTTACGGGATAGGAAATGTATTCTAGGACAAGATCTTACACATTTTAAGGGGGAGGGCACAAGAAAGTGAAGGTCCAGGAGAAAAGCTGGGGATCAGAGAAGAGATTACTATTTGGTCAATCTGAGAAGCTAAGCACATCCAGCCCCAAAATAGAATGGCAAAACAAGCTCATGGGAGGTCAGTGGAAAGCCATTTCTCTGTGTAGCTACTGTGTTTGTGCCTCACTGTCAAGTATCTGGCAGTGAGTCAGGGGGTCACCATTGGGCTGGGCGCAATGGCTCACACCTGTAATCCCAGCACTTTGGGAGGCCAAGGCAGTTGGATCACTTGAGGCTAGGAGCTTGAGACCAGCCTGGCCAATATGGCTAAACTAAGTCTCCACTAAAAATTAAAAACTTAGCTGGACATGGTGGCACATGCCTGTAGTCCTAGCTACTTGGGAGGCTGAGGTACAAGAATTGCTTGAACCTGGGCGGGGGGGCAGAGGTTGCAGTGAGCCAAGATCACACCATTGCACTCCAATCTGGGCAACAGAACAAGACTGTGTCTCAAAAAAAAAAAAAAGCCACCGTTGTTCTATAGTATCAGCAGTTGGTAAGAAGAGGTAGATTGGGAGCAGAAGACAGCAAGAAAAAAACTGGAGCTCACACCTGGAACCAGAGGTCTCAGTGGTTTATAGGCACCTCTACATCTGTCTATAATCACTTCTAATCATGATAGCCTACAAAGGGTAAGGACTGCTACTTCACCTCTGCCTGCCTAATATCCTGTAAATTCTGCTTTTGGCCAACTCACTCTCAAAATCATATAGGGAACGGCATTCTGGGAAATGTAGATCCCAACTTATTCAAGTTGACACAGTACAAATTGCCCTAGCCTTAAGCCAGGCAGCCACAAATTGAGGACTTTTTTTTTTTTTTTTTTTAGACGGAGTTTCGCTCCTGTCACCCAGGCTGGAGTGCAATGGCGTGATCTCTGCTCACTGCAACCTTCACCTCCTGGGTTCAGGCAATTCTCCTGCCTCAGCCTCCTGAGTAGCTGGGATTACAAGCATGCGCCACCATGCCCAGCTAATTTTTTGTCTTTTTATTAGAGACGGGGTTTCACCATGTTGACCAGGATGGTCTCCATCTCTTGACCTTGTGATCCACCCACCTCGGCCTCCCAAAGTGCTGGGATTACAGACTTGAGCCACCGCGCCTGGCAGAGGCCTTATTTTATTTAAAGTTTCCCCAGCAAAGAGGGAGAACCAGATGTTACATCATTTGACCTATCCAGGAGCTCTGCAGTCATCTGCCCCTGCTCTTCTCATTCAGAAAATGTCCTCACACCCTTCCTAGTTCCTAGCCTTTTTAGCCCTCTTCTCCATATCTCAGATTTCTTGAACCCCTTCAAACCTGTAGGCTCAGCCCTGCCACAATTTTTAGGACTGATCCTGATCACAGAAAGGAAGACTAGGGGCCGGGCACCGTGGCTCATGACTGTAATCCCAGCACACTGGGAGGCCAAGGCGGGTGGATCACGAGGTCAAGAGATCAAGACCATGGTGATGTGATGTAGCTAGCCTAGAGTTAGAACCTGTACACTGCCATTTTATAAAGGACAAAACTGATTCCATACTCCTCACAATGAATGCTAACCTTGGCCTCTGTGAAACTGCTAAAAGGTAAAGCTGCATACTTTCTATTATCTGTAACTGCCAGAATTGCTGGCCTTTGATCACCAGTAATAGCCACAGTAAGTACCCCCGGAGAATTCCATTCTGGCACCAAGTAACTCCTACCCAGACGATGTGTAAGCAAATGGTTATCTTAAATTCTTTAAAAGTATCAAGCACATCCCCTAGACCTTGGAATGTCCGGAGCCCATCACCCTCCTCTCTACCCAGGAGGTGATTTACAGCCTACCGAAATATCTGAAGACTTTCATCTCATCTCTGCTTCTTACCCCCACTCCCAAAGTGGTTTAGTGGGTATAAAAAGGTCTTGTCTCTCTTCTTTCCGGGTTTCCGGGCCACGGGTTGGAGAGACGTGAGTCCTCCATGGTTGCTGGCAATAAACCCCGCAATTTGGCATACTTTTGTCTTGGTATTGACTTTCTGTGCTCGGTCCAATACAACAGTGAAACCCCATCTCTACTAAAAAATACAAAAATTAGCTGGGCGTGGTGGTGCATGCCTGTGGTCCCAGCTACTCGGGAGGCTGAGACAGGAGAATTGCTTGAACCCGGGAGGCAGAGGTTGCAGTGAGCTGAGATCGTGCCATTGCACTCCAGCCTGGTGCCTGGCAACAGAGCAAGACTCTGTCTCCAAAAAAAAAAAAAAAAGGAAAGAAAGAAAAAAGAAAGGAAAGGAAGAGTAGGATGCTAGGCTTGGTACTGGGGAACACAACACAAAGTAAGTTTGCTGTGGGTTCAGCTTGGACTTCCAGCCTGTCCTAGGTTCTGTTGGCTAGCTTCTGTCTCACTCCTGGCGCCAAAAGTCCTCCTCCAACCCCAAATTTATTTTTTTTTTTAAGATACGGGGTCTCACCGTGCCACCCAGGCTGCAGTGCAGAGTGTAGTGGTGTGATCATGATGATTCCCTGAGCTCTCCCTCCAGGCCTTCCAGGACTAAGTCCCTCCCCATGCTCCACCCAAGTCCTTCCTCACAACTCCAGCCAGGGGCAATGTTGCTGCTTACCTGCTGACGGGCTTTCCCAACAACAGCTCCCACAAGCTTGATTTCTGATTACAGCCAACCCATGACATGCTTGAGCAACACTTTCCCAAGCCTTTTTGAATCTCTGTGTTGTTTATGCACATGCCTCTTGTTCTCCAGAATCAAAGGCTCGCTGTTTCGTGTGCATAGCCTCACGTAGCTTATTAAACTCCTTTTCAAGTTTCCCTAAAGTGTAACTCTCTTTTGATGACCATTTTTTTGGGTTATATTCAAACAGCTTCTTCAATGTCTTATACTCTTTTGTATAGAGTATAAGCGGGGGCCGGGGCAGTGGCTCACTCCAGTAATCCAGCACTTTGGCATGCCGAGGCAAGAGTTAGAGGCTGTAGTGTTCACACCATTGCGTTCCAGCTTGGGTGACAGAGGGAGACTCTGGGAAAGAAAGAAAGAAAGAAAGAGAGAGAGAGAGAGAGAGAGAAAGGGAAAGAGAGGAAGGATGGAAGAAAGGAAGGGAAGGAGGGAGGGAGGGAGGGAAAGAGAAAGAGAAAGAATGAAAAATAAAAGAGAAGGAAGAAAAAAAGAGAGAAAGAGAGGGAAAAAGAGAGAAAGAGCAGGCAGGGAGGAAGGGAAGAGAACACAAGTGCTAATCCTGTCTAGTCCAGCACAGCTGAGTTTCACATTCAGTTATATTTCATTTTCTGGCTGAATTTCTCTTCAGTTTAATACCAGTAAGAAGCAGCTGCCTTTTTTTTTTTTTTTTTTCCAAAGAAAAACCCATTGTGGTTGTTTTTATTTTTTTAATTACCAAAGGAAAACTTCTGCATCCCCAGCCATGAACAAAGAACCACAAAGTCAGGAGCCACGGTTGCTCAGGCCAGTTGTCCTGCTGCTTGAGAGGCAAGGCTATGAGTTCATAGGCCAACCTGGGCAATGTAAGAACCTCTCATTCATTAAAAAAAAAAAGAACCACAAAGTTATGGTGAGATGGGATGCCAGCCATCCACTCAGGTGGCTCTTAGGTCCTCAGGTGTTTAAGATCCTTGTCCTGGCAAAATGACAAATGACTACAGGTCATGGATCTCTGGGGTCACTCCAAAATATTTTAAATGGTGACTTGTATCCAAGAATGCCAAGGGTGTTCATTAAATACCTGATCTGTTGCAACCCTCTGTCCACCTCTTGTTATACCAGATCACTCTGAGGCCTCCCATTTTACTATAAAATGGTTAATTATCACGCCTGTAATCCCAGCACTTTGGGAAGCTAAGGCAGGCGGATCACGAGGTCAGGAGATTGAGACCATCCTGGCTAACATGGTGAACCCCCATCTCCATTAAAAATACAAAAAATTAGCCAGGTGTGGTGGCACACGCCTGTAGTCTCAGCTACTTGGGAGGCTGAGGCAGGAAAATCACTTGAACCCTGGGAGGCGGAGGTTGCAGTGAGCCGAGATTAAACCACTGCACTCCAGCCTGGGCAACAGAGTGAGAATCCATCTCAAAAAAAAAAAAAAGTTAATTATCAGCTTCTTGCACCCCAAGTTCCGAGTTCTGTCTGCCATACCTGGCACCCACACTCATGGGCTTCCCTCCCAGGGCATGTCCCACCCAGTGGGTGGGTGTGTCACATGCCAGGCATCCACCCCTCCCATGTGACCTGTTTCCTCAGTACTCTGGACCCAGTTGGCTAGAAGGACTGTCATTACCAATAGCACATTAAGCACCCAATGTACTGATTCATTTTTGGAAATTGTTTTAAATACCTCTGCTTGCTCTCCAGGGAAACAGATCGAGAGAAAATAAAGGCATCTGTGAGACATTTTGGATCGTTAAATCGTCTCCTCTGAGCCATGCTAAGGTCTAACAAGTTCAGCAAGATTGTAATTGACCACATGACAGCCATCAAATTAGGCTTGGATTCAAGTGTATGATCCAATGGTACTTTTATGTGCTCTACAGTTCACTGGACTCCCTGTGTAATCACTGTGTAGAGTGATACAAAGCCCATTTTATGGAAGTTGGAGTGGCACACGTTTATTGTGTTAGGTGATTACAGATTTTATAATATTTTAAGATGTATTTTTGGCGGGGTGCAGTGGCTCATGCCTGTAATCCCAGCACTTTGGGAGGCCAAGGCAGATGGATCACGAGGTCAAGAGATCGAGACCATCCTGGTCAACATGGTGAAACCCCGTCTCTACTAAAAATACAAAAAATTAGCTGGGCATCGTAGCGCATGCCTGTAATCCCAGATACTCAGGAGGCTGAGGCAGGAGAATTGCCTGAACCCAGCAGGCGGAGGTTGCCATGAGCCGAGATCGTGCCATTGCACTCCAGTCTGGGTAACAAGAGCAAAACTCCGTCTCAAAAAAAAAAAAAAAAGATGTATTTTTGTCTTATTTAGCGCTGAGTCCTTGGTCAGAAGTATGCAGTCCCATTTTACTGGTTTTCCTTTGGTAAAATGCAATATACCTATTTTTTTCATCCCGTGAATATTTTAACGTTTAAACGATCCTCTCTACACTAAGCTCATCTTGAGAGTTCTGCCGCTGACTTGCGCACTGAGGTTATGGGCATGTGTGGCACAGGATAGTGTGGATGGTATGGGCCTGAAACTGCATGAAATAAATATGACCTTTGGTCTGGATGCGGTGGCTCATACCTGTAATCCCAGCCCTCTGAGAGGCCAAGGTGGGCGGACCACTTGAGACCAGGAATTTGAGACCTGACTGGCCAACATGGTGAAACTCTGTCTCTACTAAAAATACAAAAATTAGCTGGGCGTGGTGGTGCATGCCTGTAATCCCAGCTACTCGAGAGGCTGAGACAGGAGAATAGCTTGAACCTGGGAGGAGGCGGTTGCAGTGAGCCAAGATCCTGACATTGCACTCCAGCCTGGGTGAAAGAACTAGACTGTGTCTCAAAAAAATGTGTATATATATATAAATATATGTATATATTTTTAATGTTTCCTAAATAGCAATAAATAAATAGAATAGGAACACTGCTGCTTGGTTCGGATGGGCCTTGGCCAGGTTTTCTCTTATCTTAGTTCATTTTCAGTGCTTTATAACAGAACACCTGAAACTGGGTAATTTATAAACAAAAGAAATGTATTTCTTATAATTATGGAAGCTGAGAAATCCCGCATCAAGGGTTTGCATCTGCAGACGGCCATCTTACTGGTGGGGTCTCTCTGGAGCGTCCTGAGGCAGCTCAGGGCATCACAGGGCAAGGTGCTGAGTGTGCTAGCAGAAGTCTCTCTTTTTCTTCTTGTAAAGCCATCAGTCCTGCTCCTGAGATACCTCATTAATCCATGAGTCCATTAACCCTTTAATCCATGAATGCTCTAATCCATTCATGAGGGTTCTGCCCTCATGACCCAATCACCTCTCAAATGTGCTGCCTCTCAACACGGCCACATTAGGAATTAGATTTCAACACAAGTTTTGGGGGAGACAAATATTCAAACCATAGGTCCCCCTTAGACTCAACACCTTCAGCTTCTCCTAGTTTTCTCCTATGGAATTTCAGCTCATTCAACTCTTAACTCTGGACAAAATGGAGTAATTCCTTTTTCCCTAGCCCTATTTCGCCTACAGGCCTGAGCACTCTTCCTCTGTGACCCTAGCCCCTTCTAAGCACTTATTGAAGGCCAAATCATGGCCCCCGCCAAAGATCTCAATCCCCAGAACCTGTGAGTATGCTACCTTACACCATACAGGTGTCATCAAGGTAAGGATCTTGAGCTATGGGGTGATGATCCTGGATTATCTGTATGGGCTCACTGTAAACATAGAGGTCCTCACAGGAGGGTCAGAGTCAGAGGAGATGTGACTATGGAAGCAGAAGTCAAAGCAGTGTGGAGCCACGAGCCAAGGAATGTGGGCAGCCTCTGGAAGCTGAAAAAGGCAAGGAACAGAGTCTCCAGGAGAAAGATAGCTTGATCACCATCTTTATTTTAGCCCCTGTGAGACCCATTTTGGATTTCTGATCTTCAAAACTGTAAGAGAATAAATGTGTGCCATTTTATGCCACCAAGTTCAGGGTGATTCATTCTACCAGCATCCCAGCTTGCACTGATGGGAAGGTAGAAGCAGAGGTGGAGCCATATTCCCAGTATGGTAGCCACCTGCCACACATAGCAATTGAGCGGTTGAAACGGGGTTAATATGAATTGAGATGTGCTGTAAGTATAAAATACACACCAGGCCTGGTGTGGTGGCTCACGTCTATAATCCCAGCATTTTGGGAGGCCGAGGTGGGTGGATCACTTGGGGTCAGGGGTTTGAGACCAGCCTGACCAACATGCAGAAACCCCATCTCTACTAAAATACAAAAATTAGCTGGACATGGTGGCGGGTGCCTGTAATCCCAGCTACTCAGGAGGCTGAGGCAGGAGAATTGCTCGCACCCAGGAGGCGGAGGTTGCAGTGAGCCAGGATCACGCCACTACACTCCAGCCTGGATGACAGAACAAGACTCTGTCTCAAACAAAACAAACAGATTTTAAGGACTTAGTTAATATGTTAGATACAAGGAGTTTAATAAAATATTAAAATTACTTTCATCTGTTTGTTTTTACTTATTTAAACGTGGCCACTAGAAAATTCAGAATCATACATGTAACTTGCATTATATTTCTGTTGATCAGGGCTGCTCTAGATGAATCTCACTACTGCAGTTTCTTATTTTTCTTTTTGCTTTTTTGAGATAGTCTCACTCTGTTACCCAGTCTAGAGTGCACTGGTGTGATCCCAGCTCACTACAACCTCTGCCTCCTGGGCTCAAGCAATCCTCCCACTTCAGCCTCCTGAGTAGTTGGGATTACAGTTACATGGCACCACACCCGACTAATTTTTTTTTTTTGCTTTTTTGAGATAGTCTCACTCTGTTACCCAGGCTGGAGTGCAATGGCGCGATCTCGGCTCACTGCAACCTCCGCCTCCTGGGTTCAGGCAATTCTCCTGCCTCAGCCTCCTGAGTAGCTGGGATTACAGGCACGTGCCACCATGCCCAGCTAATTTTTTGTATTTTTAGTAGAGATGGGGTTTCACCATGTTGACCAGGATATTTTCGATCTCTTGACCTCGTGATCCACCCGCCTCGGCCTCCCAAAGTGCTGGGATTACAGGCTTGAGCCACTGTGCCTGGCAAAATTTTTTTTTTTGTTAATCAATGAGAGCATGTGACATTGCTCAGGTTGGCCTTGAACTCATGGCCTCGCCTCCTCAAGCACCAGGACAACTGGCCAGAGGCACCGTGGCCCTCGAATTTTTGTAGAAATAAGATTTTTCATGTTGCCCATGACAAAACTAGACTCAAGGCATCCACCCACCTTAGTCTCCCAGAGTGCTGGGACTACGGGTGTGAGCCACCACACCCCGCCTCACCGCTGCAGTTGCAGAAGTCACTCTAAAACCCTATTGGATTGGCCCAGACCTTCTACTCCCAGCTCATATGCCTTTGGTTCCTGTTGAGTATTCCAGGACACTGCTAGAAGAGGACCCTGCCCTGAGCTACCCTGAACCTGTCTGGTTTGGGCTCTGATATCCTCCCTTAAGTTTTTCAAACTTCACTTTTATGAGTTGGGGACATCTTCAAAAAAAAGAACACAAAATCAAGAAAGAGCCAGAACCTTGGAGCAATCTGTACAAAGGAGGGAGCTTGAAACTTAAGCTTCATTTGCCTCATGGTAAATCTGCCTCTGCTCTGTCTCCCAAATCTCGCCTAGGTGGCTCCTTTCCCCTTTCTATTCTGCTGAAGATACCACTCTCCAGAGATCTTTCACTAGTTCCTAAGACAATATCCAAAGTGACCGCCATCTTTAACCCAGGCAAGCAGGGAACTTGAGCTTTGGAGGACCTCACATAGAACAAACACAACACATTTGTATATTAAGAAATGTATGGCTGGGCGCGGTGGCTCATGCCTGTAATCTCAGCACTTTGGGAGGCCAAGGTGGGTGGATCACCTGAGGTCAGGAGTTCAAGACAAGCCTGGACATCATGGTGAAACCCCATCTTTAAAAAAAAAGGAATGTATGGATATCTGCAACTTGATATTTGCCCCTTAGTGCTGGCATGGCACAACCCGTATACCCCATCCATCTGTTCTCATGACTTACACTGTTTCAGGGTCCAAGAAATTCCTTCTTTACACTCTAGCCCTATATGTCCTTGAAATTAAAAAAAGTGGGGGGGGGGATGAATTGGAATGCCATGAAGATTTGTGAGTTGTGCCACTGCTAACATAGAGCTAGACTTCCTCCCGCTGCTTCAGAGCTCGGGGAGGAAAAGGCATTAATAAAAAAAAGACAAATTAATGAACTTGTCAAATCTTCTCAGCACAAACGCAATAGATTCTTGTATAACAGGGTACCATTTGTCAGTGATGCATGCTTCTGGTATTCACAACAGCTGCAAGTGACAGCTGAATATTTTGTAACATTAAATAATTGTTATTATTCTTATATTTCTATATAGTCAGATATAGAGACAACATTCATGAAACAGTATAAATTGGCAACTACATGGACAAATACAATGACAACCAAATTGACAATGCTAGAATTATGAATTTTTACAAAAATTAATATTTCCTTACATTTAAATATGAATTCAGCTTTATTTAAATAATTTTAAATAATTTAATATTTATTTAAAATATTTAATAATTATTTAAAAATAAGTATAATTTAGTAAGTATAAATAAATAATTTATACTTAAGTATAAATCAAGATCGGAAGTGGACCGGGAACAGTGGCTCTCGCCTGTAATCCAAGCACTTTGGGAGGCCGAGGTGGGCAGATCACTTGAGGTCAGGAGTTTGAGATCGACCTGGACAACATAGTGAAACCCCATCTCTACTAATAATACAAAAACAATTAGCTGGGCATGGTGGCACATGCCTATAGTCCCAGCTACTTGGGAGACTGAGGCAGGAAATTTGCTTGAACTCGGGCGGCAGAGGTTGCAGTGAGCCAAGATTGCCCACTTCACTCCATCCTTGGCAACAGAGTGAAACTGTCTCAAAAAAAAAAAAGAAAGAAAAGAAAAGAAAATACAGATGTGAAGCTCAGAGAACAAAAAGCCTGAAAGAAGAGAAAATAGAAAGCAGTTTGCCTAAATTTCTAAAAACTGGAAACAATGAAAGTGAACTGATGTCTGCTGAGCATGACTCACATAAAATTTGCGTACAGGACTTGTACAAATTCCTTACCTAATAAGATTTAATTACTAATCATATGAAAATGAACAAAAATATCTTCAAACCCATAATTTGAAAAGATCAGATGAAATCCCTACAACTTCATATTCTTCATTAAAAGAATACTGAATTATTGATCAAAGCAAGAACAAGAAAAGAATTATTTGTAACAAATGTATAACTCAAAAAGCCAAATGCAACTCCAATGTGTCCATTACTATGAGAAGAAAAATGCATTTATAAAAGCTGCAATTGAATGTGAAAAAATCTCTGGGGCTTTATTATGCTTTTTGGATGATGATCCTAAAAAATGGTGATCACATCCTTCTAATAGCAGAAAGATGTTTCTAGCAAAATGGAATTCAATTCAAATTAATGAGCCAGGCATGGTGGCTCACACCTGTAATACTAGTACTTTGGGAGGCGAAGGAAGGTGGATCACCTGAGGTCAGGAGTTTGAGACCAGCCTGGTCTACTAAAAATACAAAAGTTAGCCAAGCGTGGTGGCACATACCTGTAACCCCAGCTACTTGGGAGGCTGAGGCAGGAGAATCACTTGAACCCAGGAGGCAGAGGTTGCAGTGAGATGAGATCATGCCATTGCACTCCAGCCTAGGCAACAGAGTGAGACTCCATTTCAAAAACAAACAAACAAAACAACAACAACAACAAAAAAAAACCCCACAAATTAATGATTACAACTTTCCATTCCATGAACATGGCAGATAATTGATTATTTAATTTTATACCAAAATTATTGTAGCTGGAGAAAGAAATTGCAGAAATTGCTGTTACGTGTTTTTTTTATATATCCTAAGTACAAAATATTTTGTTACTATTATGATAGAGTTTTACAACCAATTCTGGGCTACAGAGAAATACCCTCTCTCGATAAACAAATAAAGGCAATATTGCAAAAAAAAAAAAAAAAAGCATTTAAAAAATCAAGCATAGGCCGGGCAGCACTTTTGGAGGCCGAGGCAGGCAGATCACTTGAAGTCAGGAGTTCGAGACCAACCTAGACAACATGGCAAGACCCCGTCTTTATTAAAAATACAAAAATTAGCCGGGTATGGTGGTGCATGCCTGTAATCCCAGCAATTTGAGAGGCTGAGGCAGGAGAATTGTTTGAACTCAGGAGGTGGAGGTTGCAGTGAGCCAAGATCATGCCACTGCATTCCAGCCTGGGCAATAGAGTAAAACTCCATCTCAAAAACAAAACAAAACAAGAAACTACTGATAGTTTAGATTCCCTCATGTTTTGAACTACTGTTTATTTCATTATTACAGATTCTTAACAGTAGCTGTAGGTCAGATGTGGTGGTTCATGCTTGTCATTCCAGAACTTTGGGAGGTGGGAGAATTGCTTGGACCCAGGAGTTCAAAATTAGCCTGGGAAACATAGTGAGACCTCATCTCTACAAAATAAATAAATAAAATAGAGTGAAAATAAAAATTAGCTGGGCACGATAGCACACGCCCAGTCCCAGCTACTTGGCAGGCTGAGGTGGGAGGATCGTTTGAGCCCACAAAGTCCAGGTTGCAGTGTGCTGTAATCATGCCACTGCACTCTAGCCTGGGTGACCAAGTGAGACCTGTCAAGAAAGAAAGAAAAGAGAGGAAAGGAAGGAAGGAAGAGAGGGAGGTGGCAAGTTGTGTCCACATCTAGGGATAGACCCAACGAAGCTGAGTCTGTGTCAGGATTTTCCTGAGAGCAGCACTTTTCATCCAAGACAGATCAGGAAAGTGAAAAACTGAAACCAGACAAAAAGCAAAAACCAATCAAACAAAAAACACAGTAGAATGACTGAACACTTCCAAGAGAGGCTGGTACTTTTTCCATCTCAGGGCATCTGAGACTTAGCATTGCTAAGTCTTCTGTTTCCAGAAGTATTCACTGTTACTCTTTCTTTTATAATGACATGTTCTCTTATTATTATATAAACAGTGGCTATGTACAAACTATAATTGCAGTGAATGAGCAAAGTAAAATATAGCAAGAAAAAAATCACCTGTAACTCTACCCATACTAATGTTAAACTTTGGTCTATAACCTTCCAGTCCTGCGTGTATGTGTTTAACTAAACATGAGATCATATTGAAATGACTTTTTCAGAAAAATATGAGAAGTGACTTCCCTTTCATAGTTGATGGGAAATAAATGTGAAGCTGCCAAAGGCCATTTTTGTTATGACTTGGGGAGACATCCACTGAGAGCAAAGGCCAAACAAAGGACAGATGGATGATTGATGACATATTTCAGTACCTGGATCCAATGGTGTCTGAAGCCAACAACCCCTAGATTTAGGTGAGCCAGTAAATAAATTCCCTTTTCTGCTTAAGCTGGTTTTAATTTAATTTTTTCCATCTGCAACTGAAAGAGACCTATAATATTCACCAGGCTCATCACAAATATTCTCTTTCTTTTTGCGAACATGCAGTTGGCGTGTACTTCCGTGCTCTCTTTGAAGTGAGGTATGGCCATGAGACTTGCTTTGACCAACGACATGAGAGCCGATATGTGAGGAGTCAGAGCATCCATGACCAGCCACTTACCTCTCTCCATCTGTTTTTAAATTTTTTTTTTTTTTTTTTTTTTTGAGATGGAGTTTTGCTGTTGTTACCCAGACTGGAGTGCAATGGCACGATCTCGGCTCACCGCAACCTCCACCTTCTGGGTTCAAACAATTCTCCTGCCTCAGCCTCCCGAGTAGCTGGGACTACAGGCGCACACCACCATGCCCAGCTAAATTTTTGTATTTTTAGTAGAGACGGGGTTTCACCATGTTGACCAGGATGGTCTCGATCTCTTGACCTCGTGATCCACTCACCTCGGCCTCCCAAAGTGCTGGGATTATAGGCGTGAGCCACTGCGCCCGGCCTTCCTTTTTTTTTTTTTTTTTTTTTTTTAATTGAGATGGAGTTTCACTCTTGTTGCCCAGGCTGGAGTGCAATGGTGCGATCTCAGCTCACTGCAACCTCCACCTTCCAGGTTCAAGTGATTCTCCTGCCTCAGCCTCCCAAGTAGCTGGGATTATAGGCACTCGCCACTATGCCCAGCTAATTTTGTATTTTTTAGCAGAGATAGAGTTTCTCCATGTTGGTCAGGCTTGTTTTGAACTCCTGACCCCAGATGATCCACCTGCGTCAGCCTCCCAAAGTGCTGGAATTACAGGTGTGAGGCACTGCACCCGGACTCCATCCCTTTTTTTCTCTCTGCCATAGCAACCAGCAATATTCCAGATAGTATCTTTTCCATTGTCTGGGTCCCAGCGTGAGGATAAGGTGGAATAAACCCTCCAGCTGACCTGTGATGGACATATATCATAAGCAATAAATGAATGCACAAGTAAGAAACAAATTCCTATTTTTCAAGTTACTAAGCCTTTGGACTTTTCTGTTAGTACAGCAAAACATAGCCCATCCTGACGGATAATGTTAATAATACTGATGCATTTAGAGAGGAAAGGGATTCTTGCTTTCTTAATCTGTGTATCTTTTTTTTTTTTTTTTTTTTTTTTTAGGCAGGGTCTCATGTTGTTGCCCAGGGTGCAGTGCAGTGGCACGAACACAGCTCACTGCAGCCTCAACCTCCCGGGCTCAAGAGATCCTCTCACCTCAACTTCCTGAGTAGCAGGGACCACAAGCGCACTGCACCATGCCTGTCTAATTTTTCATATATTTTTGTAGAGATGGGGTTTCACCATGTTTCCAGGCTGATCTCAGACTTCTGAACTCAAGCCATCCACCTGCCTCAGCCTCCCCAAGTCCTGGGATCATAGGCATGCACCACCATGCTTGTCCTCTGTGTACCATTTAAAAAATCAGCAGCAGCCAGGTGCAGAGACCGAGGCAGGGGCTCACACCTGTAATCCCTTTGGGATGCTGAGGTAGATCACCTGAGGTCAGGATTTCAAGATCAGCCTGGCCAAGACGGTGAAACCCATCTCTACTAAAAACACAAAAATTAGTTGGGTGTGGTGGCAGGTGTCTGTAATCCAGCTACTAGAGAGGCTGAGGTCGGAGAATCGCTTGAACCTGGGAGGCAGAGGTTGCAGTGAGTTGAGGTCACGCCACTGCACTCCAGCCTGGGCGACAAGAGCATAACTCTGTCTCAAAAAAAAAAAAAAAAAATCAGCAGCATGCATAGCTATGTGAATATACTTAATGCTGCTGAACTGTACACCTACACTTGGTTTAAAAAGTAATTTTTATGTTATCTATAGTTTACCAAAATAAAACAATTATACCAGCAGTCAATCATATATTTATTAGGGCCCTAGGGTTAATTCCATGTAAATGGCTCTGATAGCCAGTAACTGTTCTTGCAATCATTCACCAAACCTTCATTGAGCACCTATTATGTGCCCATCACTATGCTAGGCACTAGGGGTAAAGAGGCTATACTTCCAACTTTAAAAAGCTTCCTGCAAGCAAAAGAACATTCATCATAGCAGTTTGCCATCCTGGGACCCTGTTAAAGAAAAAATAGTAGATCCTTTTGTAGTTCATGAGCGTGATGATTGAGTGTTCATGCTCATGTGAGATGTGGCCACCCACCTTGTTACCACGGCAGCACATTACCCATCTGGCATGAAAAGAAAAAGGAAAAAACAGCAGGCCCCAAACAAGGCCAAATTCCATGCTTCCAAATCAAAACCAAAGTTGTTTACTTGTAAGATCTGATCTTCAAGAAATCAAGAGAGAAATGATAACCAAATCCCATTAAGCCAACAAGATTTCACTTACATTCTTACAAGGAAAATAATCTTGAAATGACCAATCTACCATTTGTTCATTGTTCCTGCTTTCTTCTGTCTCTTTCTGCCTATAAACATACCCATTCTGTCTAGTTAGTTGGAACTCCTTTCTATTTTGTAGATTGGATGCTGTGTGGTTCGTGAATTGCTGATAAAAGTGAATCAGATTTTTGAAACTGAATTCATTGATTCTTTGTTCTTTGATGACCACCCCACTCCCCAATTTGAGGTTCTTTTTCTTTCTTCATCAATAGACCTATCTATAGTTATCATTAAGCAGTAATGGGTAAAAGCCATTATAGCCATTTGAGAAGCACTTTCTTTCTCTAATCTTTTTGGCTTGCTCCTTACTAGCATAATATTTAAGAGGACAGATTCTGGAGTCCAGCAAGCCAGACTCAGATCCGAGCTCTATCACATACTAGTTCTGTGACCTGAGCCAGTTAGTTAATTTCTGTGTGCCTCCATTGTCTTGTCTCTAGAATGGGGACACAAATAGTACCTGCTTTTTACGATTGTTGAGAAGATTGAATGAGCTATTTCACATAAACACTTAGCCCAATGCCTGGTACAGAGTAAGTGCTGAATAAATGTCAGCTATCATTTATTAGTGCCTTATTAGTGCTTTCTTATTCTAAGCTTCAGCTTACCCTGTGATGCTGGCATTTCTGGCCCACCAGTGTAAGTTATAGTCAAGAAGTCTGTATCACAAAATAGAACTACTATACAATCTGGCACTCTCACTTCTGGGTGTACAGTCATCCCTGCTATCTGTGGGGATTGGCTCTGGGAACTTCCATTGACACCAAAATCCACAGATGCTCAAGTCCCTAATATGAAATGTTGTAGGCCGGGCGTGGTGGCTCATGCCTGTAATCCAAGCACTTTGGAGGCCAAGGCGGGTGGATCATCTAAGGTCGGGAGTTCAAGACCAGCCTGACCAACATGGCTAAACCCCGTCTTTAAAAAGAAAAAAAATAAAAATAAAAATAAATGTTGTAGTATTTTAGCCAGGCTTGGTAGCATGCACCTGTAGTCCCAATTGAGGCTAAGATGTGAGATCAGGAGATCAAGGCTGCAGTAAGCCATGATGGTGCCACTGTACTCCAGCTTGGGTAATGGTGTGAGACACTGTCTCAAAAAAAAGTTGTAGTATTTGCATGTGACCTGTGCACATTCTCCTATATACTTGAAATCATCTCTAGATTACCTACAATACCTAATACAATGTAAATGCTATGTAAATCATTTTTGTCACTCAGGCTGGAGTGCAGTGGCACAACACGGCTCACTGCAGCCTCCCTCTCCTAGGCTCAATGCCTCCTTCTGCCTCATCCTCCTGAGTAGCTGAGACTGCAGGTATGCACCACTGTGCTAGGCTATTTTGTACTTTTCTTTCTTTTTTTTTTTTTTTTTGAGATGGAGTCTCACTCTGTCACCCAGGGTATGGTCCACCCAGGCTGGAATGCAGTGGCATGATGTTGAATCACTGCAACCTCCACCCAGGTTCAAGTGATACTTCCACCTCAGCCTCCCAAGTAGCTGGGACTACAGGCACACGCCACCATGCCTAGCTAATATATATGTATTTTTGTATTTTTTAGTGGAGATGGGGTTTTGACTTGTTGACCAGGCTGGTCTTAAACTCCTGATCTCAGATGATCCTCCCACCTCAGCCTCCCAAACTGCTGAGATTACAGGCTTGAACAACCATGCCTGGCTAATTTTTCTACTTTTTGTAGAAACAGGGCAACCCTATGTTGCCCAGGTTGGTCTTGAACTTCTGGACTCAAGTGATCCTCCCATCTTGGCCTCTCAAAGTGCTGAGGTTATAGGCATAAGCCACCGCCCATGGCCTAAATAGTTGTTATACTCTGTTGTTTGTTAGTTTATTTTGAGACAGAGTTTTGCTCTTGTTCCCCAGGCTGGAGTGCAGTGGCTCACCACAACTGTCTAATTTACATGAAATTTGAGAGGGGAACAGAATTTAAATGACCTCACCCCACCACACACACACAATGGTAACAATAATGATGACAGGTTTGTTGTTGTTTTTTTTTTCAGGTGTGACTCCAGACAGGATCCAAAGAGGAGATTTCCAGTCTCTTCTCTGGGTTTTATAGAGACTTACTTTACCCTTCTGTGTTAGCCTCTTAAAGCACTGGGTCAACCTTAAAAGGGCACAGGAAAGGGCAGATGACAGGTATTTTAATTAATTTGATTGTAATGATCATTATATAATGTCAAATCATGTTGTGCAATTGAATATATACAATTTTTATCTGTAAATTAAACATTAATTAAAAAATATTGACTGCTGCAAGCTCAAGAGACTGAAAGGAAAAATAAAATGATTCTGTGTCTCAGACATCTCCCGGTTCTTCATTTACCTGTAGCTTTACTCACGCTTCTTGCCTCTCCCTGCAAGGGACCCATGCTGGTTCACAGCCACTTGGGAGCACCCTTGAGTTAGGGCTGATCTGTTCTTCCTCCTGACAGGTGCTTCAGATCCCAGCCAGCAAGGATCACTTTCAGAAACTTTCACTTTCATATCTAGCCAGAAGTGGAAACTGGGCATGCCCTTCCAAACACTTGGCAGGAAGCTGGTTCCCAACCCCTAAGAAGCAATAAAACCAAGGTCACTCCTGCAGAAGAAGGCTTCTAACAGCACAGGATTCAAGCTCTATGGAGGTAACTTTCAGCCACAGTAGCAGTGTTTGTAAGTGTGGCTGGATCAGTATTTATCAGAGCTCCCCTTCACTCTCCTCACATTCCCTGAGGACCCCCTTGCACACCTCACCTTTTGTGACTGAGTCACCCGACTGCAGAACTAGAAAACAAAGAAGGTGGGCCGGACACGGTGGCTAATGCCTGTAATCTCAGCATTTTGGGAGGCCAAGGCGGGCAGATCACTTGAGGTGGGGAGTTAGAGATCAGCCTGACCAACATGGAGAAACCCTGTCTCTACTAAAAATCCAAAAAAATAAAAAAGTTAGCCAGGTGTGGTGGCACATTCCTATAATCCCAGCTACTTGGGAGGCTGAGGCAGGAGAAGCACTTGAACCTGATAGGCAGAGGTTTCGGTGAGCTGAGATCATGCCATTGCACTCCAGCCTGTGCAACAAGAGCGAAACTCCATCTCAAAAAATAAAAAAAAGAAAACAAAGAAGATGAATTCAGGACAGTTACATGCAAAAATGCTACTAGGTAGGGTCAAGACAAAGATTGGAGGATACACTGGCAGAGAAATATGACTTTTTTTTTTGAGACAGAGTCTTCCTCTGTTGCCCAGGCTAGAGTGCAATGGCGCGATCTCAGCTCACTACAGTCTCCACCTCCCTGGTTCAAGCCATTCTCCTACTTCAGCCTCCCGAGTAGCTGGGATTACAGGCATGCACTACCACGCCTGGCTAATTTTTGTATTTTTAGTAGAGATAGGTTTTCACCATCTTGGCCAGGCTGGTCTCAAACTCCTGACCTCAAGTGATCCACCTGCCTCGGCCTCCCAAAGTGCTGGAATTACAGGCATGTGCTACAGCGCCCAGCCTGATTGTGTATTTTTGACTGTCTTTAAATTTTTTTCATTAATCTGTAATGAAAACTTGGAGACATTTGGAGAAAATCTGAATGTAGAATCTTTTCTAGTAAGAACAGTTTTCTTCTGGTCATTCATAGTCATTTCAACCTAATCCTTATTTCAACGATTTTTTTTTTTTAGCAATTATCCCTTCTTGAGAAATTCCAAGAAATCTAATATAGATCTTTCTTCTTTTCTTCTTATCTTTTAAAAAAATTAATAGACTTTTTCTTTTGGAGCAGTTTCAGGGTTACAGAAACATTGGGCAGAAAGTACAGAGTTTCTACATACCTCCTCTTCCCAGGCACACCTTTTCCTCTGCTATTAACCTCTTGCGATGTTAGTTACTACTAATTAGTGTGCTACATTTGTTACAATTGACAGATCAGTACTGATACATTATTACTAACTCAGGTTCGTAGTTTATATTAGGGCTCCTTCTTTGTGTTGTACAGTTCTATGAGTTTTGACAAATGCATAATATCATGTCCAGTATCAGAATCGTTTCACTGCTCTAAAAGTGCCCTGTGCTCCATCTATTCATCCCTCCTTCCCTTCTAATCCCTGGCAACCACTGATCGTTTTACTGTCTCTATAGTTTTACCTTTTCCAGATTATTATCAGAGTGTGGTGGTTCATGCCTGTAATCCCAGCATTCTGGGAGGCCAAGGCAGGTGGATCCCCTGAGGTCAGGAGTTAGGGATCAGCCTGGCCAACACTGGTGAAACTCTGTCTCTACTAAAAACTACCAAAATTAGTTGGGCATGGTGGTGGCACGCACCTGTAGTCTCAGCTACTCGGGAGGCTGAGGCATGAGAACCTCTTGAACCCAGGAGGCGGAGGTTGCAGTGAGCCAAGATCACGCCATTGTACTCCAGCCTGGGCTACAGAGCCAGACTCTGTCTCAAAAAATAATAATAATAAATAGAATATAGAGAGAGAGTCACACAATATGTATCATTTTTCAGATTGGCTTCTTACATTTAGCAATATGAATTTAAGTTTCCTCCATGTCTTTTTCGTTTTGTTTTTTGATTTTTGAGATGGGGGTTTCAATGTTTTTCCCAGGCTAGTTACAAACCTCCATGTTTTTTCCTGGCTTGATGGCTCATTCTCCACCTCCCCGCCCCCAATTTTTTTTTATTGTGATAAAATACACACAACATAAAATTTACCGTTGTAAACTTTTTTTGGTGTGGGGGAATGGAGTCTTGTTCTGTCACCCAAGTTGGAGTGCAATGGCATGATCTTGGCTCA